AGACATTGAAAGCGCTTGCTCTGTGCGAGATGCTGTTCAGAGTTCTGGGGGTGGGGGGAACAGGGTCTGCTAGACCACCTGTCTTTCAATGAGTTCATTATCATCAGGAGGAATAAAGTCAGAAAATGGTGAACTCGTCTACGCAGTTTGAATGAAGTTAATGCTAGATGTCAGGATAAGAAATGAGCTGAGGGAATACAAGGCAGTAATTAATGTCGACAAGGGAGACTTTGATTTGTGCGATGCCACGGAGGCGTGAATAGAATTCTGAAGAGACATATGACTGGGGCGCATCATGAACTGGATAAAGGCAGGAGTACAGTGCACACAGTGAGTCATACACCTTGAAGGCAGGCTTCCTCCTCTCATCAGCTGCGGAGATACCTGCTCCCGATGGCTTCTGTGGTTTCCATGAAGAAAAGGGTGTGAAGCTTGGATGCTTTTCTGTCTTGAAGGCACAGGTTCTGCTTGGGTGCCGACAGGAGATTTGCCTTCAGAGCATGGCGTTGGTGTACAGATCCGTTTCCCAACCACTAACAGTCTTTTCTTAGGTGCCATGGAGTTGATGTTGGCTTACAGTGACTCCATGTCACAGAGAATTGCCAAGGGATATTTTTGATTATAATATTTATGCAAACAGATGACCACACCTTCTCCCATGGAGCCTCTGGCTGGGTTTGAACTGCCAACCTTCAGTTAGTAGCTAGGTGCTTAACCATTTGCACCACTGAGGCTCCATGGTAACAGTCTAAGACAGAACAGTCCCACTGATGAGCCATGGCTGGGATAATGGGGCCTGGGGTAGTGAAACCCTCAGCCCTTGGGATGGCTGGGCTGGGAATACTTATCAGAACTCCAGGGCCCATACCACAGAAACATTATTTCATGGTGCAAAAAAGATTGGAAAGCCTTCCTCCAGGGTTCTTGTCCAAAGCACCTGGCTCATTTGAAGCAGGCATCTAACAATATCACAACTCAGTCACCTTTGTGGGTTGGTCCCCCAACAAGGGCCAGAATAAGCAGAAGTTTGTGGATGAGAAAGAAACATGCTGTCAACAATCAAGAGACTAGCAGGACCTTGTTTAGCTGACGGGCTTGTGAGTAAAGATTAGCCGCATACACGGGGGGGGGGGGGGGTGCCATGAGGCGGGGTTGACAAGATGGCAACTGGGCTTTATTTTTATGTTTATAGTGGTTTCTCTGCAAAGCTTAACATCAAGCCCAACAAGGATCAGACAGTGGTCTCATATCTGCTCCATATTCACTTTCCTCCCCCTGAGTGAGCTCTGATCTGATGGCTGAAGATAAGGGGGCAGAGGACAAGGACTAGACAGGGAGGTGTACGGAGACTCACCTGACCTCTGCTCACTAATATGTATGTAACCAATGGTTGAAACATGAGTTGGTGTCTGTGCTACTTTTGTGGGACAAAAACTCAAACAACATTTTTTTAGAAATAACCGTTTATTCTAAAATTAGCCCAAAGAAGTCAAATTATAGGGAAAAGAAAGATTATGGGCAGAAGAAAACAGAAGAGAAAAGTAAGGCATTTAAGAGTTCAAATCAAGAAAAGGCTTGTCAAAACCCTGCTGGCTACTGAAGCCAAAGCTGGGAGCTGTCAAATGAGCCCATCATGACTGCCACTGCTGGGTCTGGGCAAGAGCTAAGGGTAGTTCCCAAGAGCCCAGAGAAGGCAGAGGGACTCACCTGCCGGAGCCGTACACATCCCACACCCCAGCGGCTTCTGGATCCATGCACACCCAGGCCCCACTTTCTCTAGTGTTTACCACAAATGCCGAGGGAAGCTCAGAAGATTAGGGGAGGGGCAGCATTCCTGCTTGGTCCTGGGAAAAGTCCCAGTGAATAGAAAGGCAGAATGAAGAGCCGGCTACTGAATGTGGGCACTGCATCCTGAGCACCTCCTGAAATAACTTCTCACTTTGCACTCCTGATGGCCATGATGCCCAGCGCTTCCTTGCGCCAAGGGAGCCCAGTGGGTTCTCACAGCTCCCTACCCAAATGCAGCCGCTACTACTCTGTGGACAGAGCCACCCTGACCAACTGGATGGCGACCACCCCAGAGGGTGAGCCCACTGGGAAGGAGCAAGCCCATGTGATGAGAGTGACAGAAAATAGAAGGCAGGGGTTTCGTCCTAAGAAACTAAAGACCCAAGTTCCAAGTGGGTATAAAACAGGCATGGTCCTAGTTCCTGAGACCTATTAATTAATTCTCATTGCCATCCACTTAGACTGGTCCCTATTCTCCTAACTGACCCTCCAGTGGGTTTCTGAGGCTATAAATTAAATGGGAGAAGACTGTCCATCTTTCTCCCCCAGAGCTTCTAGAGGATTGTAATAGTCAAGAGGGGCACTGCCTATGGGTTCACAGCACAACTTTCAACCGAGTAGGCCACTAGCACTATCAGGTGAAGTGCCTGTAGCTGGGACACTGTGCTGCTGTGTCTAATGGTCCTAATCATGCCACACCATCTCACCACAAGGGGGCGGCCTCACACCAGCAGCCAATCCAAGGGCTGGCAAGGACCCACTTGTGACCTGCGTGGAACCAAGGAAACAAAAGACTGCAACTGTTCACAGTGATTGAGATTGGGGGCATTTAATTATTCAGTAGCTTCTTAAGACTTTGCTGCAACTGAGAAGGGAGCACTGAGGTGAGAAATAAGAGAGAAGGAACTGAAAGAGGCGAGTACCATTTTCCAAGTATAAAACTGGTAATGTTGAAAGAGTAGCAGGGCAGTACAGCCTCAGGCTTACAATGGAGAAACTAGACAGTACAGTCGTGCAGAGGCCAGTGTTGTGACATCTGCTAGGAACATTGTGACACTCCACCCCAACTCGGCCACAGGCTAGGTAATAATGTGCACACACACCCATGCACAGATACAACTGCAAAACCTAGAAATATGCTAAGTCAAACGGAGGCTCTGGATTATAAATTAAAACATCTGCAGTAGGTCCCTTTGAAACCACCACCATAGGCCCCAGACCGCGGCACGCAGGACGTGGTGTCTCAGGGTCTAGGCCCAGGCAGACAGGAGCTGCCAATGGGCAGTGCTGTCTGCTGGGTGATTCTGAGTCCCTGGAGCTCCTGGGACACAGCACTGGCCACTCAAGGGGCAATCCATGCATAGCTCCGACTCCACGCACTCACAGAAGAAGGGGCCCCACCACGTCAGCAACTGGTTAAGATGCAACTGCCACGTCTGAGGATCCCAGCCTCGCCCTCTAGACACACACACACACACTCCACCACCACCCCCAACCACTCTTAAAACTCACAACATACTGCAGGGCAAACAGGAGGTCAAGACACACACTCCACCACCACTACAAGAGGCCTGTAATGAGACAGGGAGTCACAGTTAACGTGGAGAAAGCACAGTGCTAAGATTACCCTGGACAAAGGGGCTAGGAGCTAGAGAGGCTGGTAGCTCAACTCTCCCGGCCAGCAGCCCGGCAAGGGAGGACAGAGGATCCGCTCTGCAGAGGCTGAGTATGCAGGAGTCCCTGAGAAGGGGAATGGAACAGAGGAACATTTGTCCTGACTTGCCCTAAGAACTCCACCCAAATAAAAACTGACTCATTTCCCCTGGGGCTTGGGTCAGGGGGAGCTCACTGCTGAGAAGGCACACTATATGGCATCACTAAAGGACAGTGGCTCGGCTGAGACTGGGGTCCCCCACACAGTGTGTGGAAAGGGCAGGAAGTGGGTGCAGGGCTTGGTCCTCTCCCTGCACCACCCTGAGCAATGAGTCTTGTGACAGAATTCAGGCCCAAGGTCACAAGTGGTGCTGGCCATCATGCTCTCCTGGCCCAGCAAGTTTCTCTCACCTTAAGCTGCTCTCTGTAAGCCAGGGCTCAGAAATGCCCAGTACCTGAGGCTAACTTGCCATAGTACCTTTGGAAGCTGAATAAAGGGGAAAAGGTAGGAACAACATTAAGGGGGGAGAGAAAATGTTCCTTGCGCGGAGGGCGCTCTCAAGCCCTCCTCAGGCCCATCTAGGTAAGTCAAGGCAGCTGGTGAAGGTGCTCTGAATTGTTCCCTCAAACAGAATGGAAAGATCATCATCATATGGTAGCTAAAAGCAATGAGAAGGGGGAACCACCAACTTCACTGACATGCGCTGGAACTTGGTGCTTCTCCTAGTCTGATACTCAAAAATGTAGAGAAAAGAGTGTGGTTTCTGATCATCATCACCACCCCTGGAGAAAGGTTCTGATTGGGTCTGACCACTGCCAATTAAAGGAGCAGCTTCAGGCCCAGGAAGTTCTAGAGTGTCTGGAAACCATGCTCTCTTCCTGGTCCATGGGAGTATGAACAAAACAATGGAAGCATTATTTCAGACAAGAATCTCCAAGATAGTGGCAGCAGAAAAGGACCAGTCCTGTAGTCCACCCTTTGCTAGACCGGGGGACATGCAAGGAGCCCTTCACAAAGGTGTGGCCAGTTGTGTCCTGCTAAAAGACAACTGTGACTCTTGAGACAGCTAACCCACTTCCCAAGATGAGGGGCTGAAAAACCTCTCGTGCTTCACACAAAGTCCATCAGGTGAAACATGTTGCTTAAAGGCTCTCTATTTGATGAGTCTGCTTCAGACAGCAGAGAAACCCTTTCGCTATCTCAGAAAGTATACTCCCACTTCCCTAAGAGACCAGGACAGGTCAAAGCCAGCACACAATGATTAAGTAAGAGCTAGAGACATTAGAGAAGGACATGGTTAAAAGAATTCCTAGAGGAGCACTTAAAACAAGGGCAAAATATCATTATGTGATGAAATCCTTCAGGGGTCTTCAAAGTAAAAAACCACGCAAGGACGGTAAGGTGTAGGAACAGCAGTCCCGAGGACCAGCGTGTCTTGCCATGTGTCCCATTGTGCTCTGTGAAGCAAGATCCGCAGTCAAAGTCGGGCACGGTCTGTTCCAAATCCCCGAGAACCTTGCGAAGGCCGGAGGCCCTCGGCTGAAGAAGGTGTCCAGGTTCAGCGGGGCTTGGGGGAGCCGTTCATCTGGCTGCCCGAGGTCACGGTGTCCGTGCTGTACAGGCTGGTCAGGAAGACAGAGGACAACTCGGCCACCAGATTCCTGTCAACTGTTGCCTGGGCCATGCCATAGATGGCACCCTACAGACACAAACAGGGTGCATTATTAGTGATGACGGCACAGGCACACGATAACGTTCTATGGTTTCAATCTCCTTTCCTGTATCCTACCGTCCAGTCATACAGTCCCGGGTCCCACGCTAGGCACTGTTCATGCTGAAAGACACCTACCTAGACCCAGGCAATTTTCCACAGGTACTGGCTAGCCCACCTTCCTGCCCCAAGGAACTATCCTGCGGCTTTTGTGATATAAAATTCCAGAGAAAATGTTCATTGATTTTCTGGTGCCAAAATTTATTTTTTCCAAATGAACAGGACAAGCCCCTGCTTTTGTGCAGCATTTTTCTACCTCGTTTATACGCTGACTTATTTAGAGTATGTCACCTGGGACTCTTGGGTAAAGAGGAGATCTTCGGCTCCAAGTGAGGAGGGAGAGGAGAGCCAGCCCCCGCCAACACCCCTGCACCAGGATGTAAAAGCCCCTGCGCCCCTACCATTCCTGTAGTCTTCGCTTTAGGATTCTTCATGATCTGAGTGACAGATTCCCGGACGTCCTTCAGGAACTGGATGGCCACTCGGTTGCGAGTGTGCAGGAGTGTGATGCAGAAATGAATGCTACGGGAGAAGAAAAAGCACAGAGGGGTGGAATCTCAGGAAGAGAGAAAACTGCTGAAACGGAGGAGCTCACTGGCTGTTTCTTCCCATAGTGTGGTCTTTATCTGAGCAGTGTAATTGCTAAGCTGTTCCTCCAGCCCCGAGAACCAGACCTGGGGTCCAGCAGGCCTCTGGGCATGATCAGAAACCAGCACTGCTCATTCTGTCCTCCTTTAATCATGTGGCCACCAGTTAAGACACCTGGGTCATAGTTAAGCCGTCCTGAGGACAGGGTTGGACTGGCCTCCTGAAGGACTTCCAGACAAACAGGAAACTAGCTCAGCCTGGAGCGAGGAAGGAGTACAGAGAAAGTGTGGGAAAGGCCCACGCAGGATGGGAGAGGGTGTGAGGGCGCAGGACGGAGCTCTTTAGTTTCAGGGCGTCTTGGAAAGTTTAGAAAAGCATCTTTATAAAACCCCTGAAGGTGCAGTCAGTGGAGAATTGTGCTGCTAACCCAAAGGCCTCTCTCTGGCAGTTCAAATCCACCAGCTGCTATGAGTGAGAAAGAAGTGCCATCTCCTCCTGTGCGAGCCACAGCCTCCCAAAAAGCTGCTGGAGGGTCTTCACTGAGTCGGCCCTGATTCCACAGCAATGACTTAGAGTTAGTTTTAGTTAACAGATTTTGAGATCCACTGGAGAGGATCTGAATGAAATATCACTCCAGTGAGAAGGCATTTTTTAAGAGCAATCGCATGGCTGGAAGATGGATTGGAGAAGACCGAGTCTAGAGAGTGAGGAGGACCAACTGTCAAAGGAAGCGGCATCAAAGTGTACCTGGACGAAGAGTGTGGATGGCCTATCTGGGAAGGGATAAAGGCCATCGTTTTTAAATCCAACAATGCCAGGCAGCAAGAAAGATCCTAAACATCCTGCAGTTGCTACAGAGTTCAGGGAACTACAAATCAGTCTACCTTCATGTTTGCTACCAGGTTCTTTAAAAGACACACAAACGAAAGGGAGACAAGAGGCTTCTTCCAGCTCACCTGGGTGGGAACTGCAACTGGTTCAAGTTCCACCCTTTAGCGGTCATCAGGTTGAACAGTCGGTAGATGTCAAAGTCATGGGAGCCCAGGGCAATGACTGACAACTGAGGGTTCCCGAAAACAAAGATGCCTTTGATGTTTTCCAGTCTTGAAGGAGAAGAAAGGGAAATTTCATTACACAGTTTCCTCTGGTCATCATACCTTTAATCAACCAAAATCACTCTAACACCAAACCAGACCTTTTGGGCTTTTCATTTTCTCATCTTGGAACAGAGGCTTCTATGGAGGGTCTATGTCAGGGTTACTTGTGGGATAGTAAAAATATTTAGAGGACTAAGCCCCTCTCAGGTCTGAATCAGAATCAGAATCACTATATCCTCACTTGATTACTCTACCCTCAAACCATAACAGGACTCTAGGAGTATCTGAGGCCCAAAAGATGTGTTTAATTTGGGTACATTTACACAATGGAATACTATGCAGCACTCAGGAGGAATGATTCCATAAGTTACTATATAACATGGGAGAGGCTAGACAGCATTATGCTGAGTAAACTCATTCAATATCGTATGGACAAATACTGCATAAGACTATTACTGTAAAAAGAGAAGGATAACTAGTAAGATGTGAATAAAACTCCAAAGGGGAAAGAGGGGCTGTAAGGGGCCTATGGGTGAGGAGGGACAGAAATCACAGGGTTGCACAGTTTGGTGGATGGAGGGAGAGGGTGAAGGAATTTGGATAGATCTAGTGGGGATCTGAAGATGGGGTGACAGTGGGCAGAGGTCAATGGTGATTACTTTTCTAGAACACACCATATGGGAGTGATCATGTGAAACACAGTGTGGATGAAAGAATGTGAGAAACACAATGTATATGAATTCTGTATGCAAACCAATATAATTAAAATAAAGCTTAAAAAATGTTGCAAATAGGAAGAAAAAAGATATAGTTATTAAAAAAAGATCTAGAAAAAGAACCCTTCTATCTCTACAGTTTTGAAAAGTCACATATGCGATCTCTACAGTGAAAATGGTATACTGGTTCTCAACAGACGAGCAAATGAGAGGCACATGAAGATCTATTTCAAATGCTACCTGGCTACGGCCTTACTTTTACCCTCAAAACGTATGGACAGTGTCTCCAAAATCCCAGTGTAAACAAGGAGAAAGGAGACCTCAGACGAAGTGTGCAGCCTGAACCTGACTCCAGATCCCGTCACCCTCCTCTCCTCCATTTTTCCTACTGTCTTGCCTCAATTCTTGTTTCAATTCCAGTCATTCTCCAAGTGTGATTTTTGGATCAGCACCCTCAGTATCTCCCAGAAACTCACTAGAAATCTTCAGCCCTCCCCCGAGATCTAATGAATCAGAAACTCCCACAGAGAGAGTTTTAATATCCTTCCAGGTGAATGGGAGCCCAGTCAGGTTGTAGAACATCTGTTAATAATTACAGCACACACTGGTACTTGGTAAGGGTGCCGGGTCTGTAAGACCCTTTTAGAAATGAGGTGGTATGTATACAAATATGGCCTGCACTTCAGTGGCCTCTGGCTCTGAAGATCCTCTGCAGTCACAGCAGAAGCAGGGAGCCCAATCCAGGCCAGGTCCACACTCCTATGTGCCCTATATCCCAGTCTCAAGGGATGGTACCTGGGCTAGGCCTAGGAGTGCCTGAGCCCTACAAAAAGCACAACTGAACCTTTAAGAGGAAGGGGGTGGGGCAAAAGATAAGGCAGAACCAATGGTGCACACATACTCTGACTTGAGGAAGCGAGTGGTTTTGATGATCTGTTTGGTAGCTTCGACATAGCCACTCTCCCCGAAGTGCATCAGGGTGGCCCAGCAGGCTGCACTGATGCCCCCAGGCCGTGAGCCCGCCATGGTGGGGGACGCGTAGATGCCACCCTGCCAGTCTGTAGCCACGAAGAATTGGTAGTTTCTGTACTTCTTGTCGCTGTACAACACCACTGAGGAGCCTTTGGGAGCATAGCCGTACTGGATGGGAGAAGCAGAAGGGTAAGAGCCAGTTCCAAACCCCAGACCTCGATGCTCAACACACCACCTCCTCCCATTCCCGCCTCGCTTTCTCTGAAGGCTGCTTCCCACTCACTCTCAGGATGCAAAGTCCATAGGGAAAGATGGAAAGGATGGTGTGGCTTTCCTGCGCTGGGAGTGAGGAATCTGAGGCCTAGAGAAGAGCAGAGCTGTGCCCACTGAGTGGGTCTCCTTCCTATCAACCAGCAAGGGGTGTTTTTTTATTTAAAATATTTCTCAGGATGCCATGTCAGGATGGAAATAAGAACAAACTTGGAATTTAGGAAAGGCTGGAATTACTGCCATTGGGTCACTTCCAACACACTGTGACCTTAAGACAAAGCAACCCTGCAGGGCTGCCAAAGCCCCGGTCTTTATCGAAGCAGAGCTACTCCGTTCTCCTTCAGAGAAGCTGGTTTTAACAGTGGAGCTTAATCAATGCCTGCCAGACTCCGCAGACTCTGCCGAAGCCCATCCTTCCGGCTGGTATCACATCCCCGTCTAATGGGCATTATGGTGCTCAGGACTCAAAAGCGACTTGTTCCAGCCATAAATAAATGATGAGATTCCTTTCCTGACTTTTTGGTTTTTTAACGTGCCCTCCTAATTAACGCTCACTGCTGCTAAACCTGGAACCGATTTCCTTCCTTGTCTCACAGAGACAGACAGCAGGAGAAAGGGACAAGAGCCACAAGGCAAAGATAAGATCGTGACTCGATGATTGTTGTTGATCACTTGGCACCTTGAAGAACAAGTCTTAACAACACTCTTCATTTAAAACAAGCTTGCAATGTGCAGCCAAACAAGGCATGTGTTCAGGCGCTGTTTTATTTCCTTTACAGCATCTCAAAAGTGTTCTCAATGAACCTGAACTTTGTGTCAGTCCATCAGGAGTGACAGGTACAGACCACTCAAATATCACAGGCCCGTATTTCCTGAGCACACAGGTCCTTCCCTGTTCTCAAAAGCACCCTCCCATCACCTACGTTCAGAAGCCCGATGGCATGGGAGCCCCAGAATTAAAATACACTCTCTTAGGAACTCCATCACTAACCCTTAGCCCTCTTCTCCCTGCTACCTCAAATAATCAAGACTTCAGGGGATATTTTTTTACAAGGGTAACTACATAAGTCTCATAGTCAGTGAACCCCAATCACTCTCTTAGCTAATGGCAGGATAAAGGTAACAGATTACATTTCCCTGTAGCCTGTCACCTCAGCTGCTTATTCCCTGTACCAGCTGCCTCTGGGAGAGCAAAGGGCCAGAAGACTTCACTGTCCATTTTTTTGGGGGGTGGGGGGGCAAGCTAAGGCTTTAGCTGACTTTATGCCAAGTCAGCATAATCAATCTGCGGCTAACATGCGGACTGCTGCTTTGCTCACCTTGTGAGTGTCAGCTGAAATGCTGGTCACGCCTTTCACCTGGAAATCGAACGGCTTCTCCAGGGGGTACCCCGCTTTCTCCATGAAGACAATGAGGAAGCCTCCCAGACAAGCATCTACGTGTAGAGGTATTTTGTATTTGACAGCCAGCTAGTTCCAAAAAAACAAGACCATACGATGACTTCATTGGTAGCAGCACTGTACCAAAAGCTTTACCAGACACAGGTGGCAAGGCAGGCTAACAATACAAAGCTGGGTTATGCCTCCCATGGATGGTGGTTGTGTTTTTTTCAAAAACTTTTTACATTCCTAATAGAGCTCATCTATCTAGTGCATGTGGTGGTGGTGGTGGTATTCAGTGGAGTCTAGCTAACCAGGATTCACAGCAACTCATAAACAGGCAGGATCTTGGCCCTATCATCCTGAGATCTGCCATACTCAAGCCCACTGCTGCAGGCACAGTGTCAATAATTCATCTGCAATGTATAGTATCTATTTTACATTTAAATATGCATCACCTGGAACTCACTGGAAGGAGGCCATGCATATTTAACTGAGGGTGGAGCTATGCTGGAGGCCATGCCTGGAGGGGAAAACCAAGTCCTGCTTTCCTAACCTCAGTGGCAGGAGGTCCAGGGGCCCAGTCTGCTTCTACCCTCTGATGGGCAGATTTCCAAGGGCAGACATTTTCTGATCAGAAGCTAAATGCCAATATTACTTCAGAATAAGGGAGCTAGGGTAGCTTAGGGGTAAGGAGTTGCACTGCCAACCCAAAGGTACACAGTTCAAATTCACTAGCTGCTCCATGGGAGAAAGGGAGGCAGTCTCCTCCCGTGTGATTTATTGTCTCTGAAAATTTGCAAGAGGGTCAGCTATGAATAGGTTCTGATTTGAAAGTATATGGTAACATTTCAGAACAACCAGCTTAGAGAAAGGCCTCTTCCTTGTATTATTCCTCCCTGAGATCAGAAGCTGGAGACTTTCAGGAGCTCCAAGCACAGCTTCAGGGCTTCACACAGGGCTAATGCAAGCTATTCACCACAACAGCCATCAACCTAAAATCAAACGCTCCTACTTGCCAAACACAGACCACTTGATTCTATTTTAAAATCTAAATCTGGCTGACTGAGTAGCCCTTTTTTCTTATGTACCTTGGCCACTTCAGGGACAGGATCTATCACGCCATGAGGGAATTGCGGAGCAGAGCAGACGAGCATGGCCGTGTTCCGGGTAATGGCTCTTTTCATGGCCTAAGGATTCGAAAAGAAGGAAAATGAAAATCCCCATCAGCACAGTGATTCTCTTCTGCTGCCAGAGCCACCTGGACTACAAGCCTGGTTCCACTTTCTTCACCTTCCAATCCAGGAGAAAACTGACCCTGTGGCAAAATGCACGATGGGTCCATTTGGGGTAAAGGAACACAAAGATGAAAGCAAATCACCGTGGGGGTGAAAAAGCACTGGGCTGGGAGGCAAAACAGCCAAAGAGAAGCGTCAGCCCGTAACCTGCCAGCAGAGAAACGGTGAAGAAGTTATTTAACTTCACTCAGTCACCCAATCAGTTTGCTCACCATGAACTTGAGTAACACCAAGAGCTTCAGCGACCTTTCTGGACTGTTTTATGGTTCAAAGGGCAGCGTGATAGCACTCTGAAAGCTGGACAGTTCTACAGAAGGCAAGGCATAAAAACAATCCCTATGCCAACAAAAAAGGCTCAATTGAGGCCGATTGAAACCACAGTGAGACTTGGGCAAGTCAGTCCATGTTCATGTTCTTGACAGAGAAAAGACAGGAAAGTAATAATGGCCTGCAAAGTAAAACTCAGGTCTTTAAAGACCCAGGGGAGAGAACAGATCATCTCCCTATTAGGATTTGTGGACTTATGATGAGATTGAAGCTATACTCACTCCCTACTGGTAGTGTCACAGCCCAAAGCATGTAGAGCCTACTACACGTGGTTCTGGGAAAACTGGTCAGTCTGATGGAACTCCTGCTTCACACCGCCCCAGAGACGCTGGACTCTTGAGGGCAACTTACCCGCAGGTCCACCTCCATCATTTTGTTCAGGGGAACTCGGATAAGCTTCATCCCAAAATAATTGGCAGCTTTGTCAAACGCAGCGTGGGCACTCATGGGGGCCACACTAGATGACAGGGAAGAAGACAAAGAAACTCAGACAAAACAGAACTTAAGGGGGAGCCCAGTCGCTGACGGGAAATCACCATGTGGAAATGTCTGAGGTTCCCCTCCCCAAAAATGTATTTAAATCATTTATGTGGTTTTGACTTTTCTTTTTAAACAGAAACAAAACGTGGGCAACTGAGTTTTTCCGTAGGAACCTTCTGCCAACTATTTGGGAAATCCTTTTGGCAACAGGAAAAAGGACTCTGAAACCATCTCACAGGATTCTGGGGCTCAGAGGTGAAAGGTAAAGTACAGAGAACTGGGATCAGATTCATCTAAGGGACAACTCTGCATGCTTGGCAAATCAAAGACAGTTGCCTGGCATGACATGTGTTCAAGGAAAAGGGATAAGACCTGTCACAGGTAGACCAGAGCAGCGGGCAGTGTCAGGTCCTATGTCATGCCCAACTCCGAGGCACCACGACCCTCTGAGAATCTAAAAACTCCAGTGTTCCTACTCAGGTAGAAGTACACTTCAAACAGTACTGACAGACAAACTCAGTTAACTGTTTGCCTTCAGACTTTCTGCAACTACTCTACTCTTATGGTTGGTTGTTTTTAAAAATTTATTATTTTTACTTTACTTTTACTGTTAACCTGTTCCCTTTAAAAGAGGAAGACCTCTGTTACTGAGTAAGGACTCAGGCACCAAAGATAGGGATGAAAAAAGCCGGGAGCTAATTTTATTCTTTTACATCAAATATGAGAAGATGTGGAAAAAAATTCCTAGTCAAAGACATTTATGAGGAAAATATCAGCCCAAAACACTGTGCAGGAAGACGGTCTAGAGAACAAGCACAGCAAATGCCCGAATGAGGCACATGGGCTGGCCACAGGAATTGATCTTAGAAAGGGGTTTATTCATTTCCCCTCAAAACTCAGTCCCCTGGCAGGAATTTTCCTACAGTGTACCCTAGGGCAGCCCACTGAAACAATTTTCACTGATGGATGGAGAGCTCTTCTCAGACGTTGGATAATTTATAACACAGGGTTTAGGAATATAATTCTTCAATGCTGTGTCCCCCTGTGGATAAAAGATCTCACTACTGCTCGAAGCACTTGTCATTTATAAACTTGGGCTGGGAATGACTTTTCAAATTAGCTGGCTGATCCATTTAAAATGTTGCTCAATGCTCTGATGGCACAATCCGAAAGCTACCAGCTGTTCCTCCAAAGAAAGATAGGAAATCTCCTCCCTTAAGATTTACAGCCTTGGAAACACGATGGGAGGACTGCAATGAGCCAGAACCAATTCGACTGAGGGAGTGATGGGATAAGGATTAAGGGGGAAAGAGGTGTGAATGCTTCAAGGAGAGAATAAGCAGAAGAAGAGACTGCCAGGCTCAGTTTCATACAGCAGTACTCTTAAACAGACAAATCTACAGTGCAGGGGGGCAGGGAACATACGTACATTTCGGGAGTTCTGATCCCCTTCTCTAATGCCAGGTCCCGATAAGCTTTGCAGGCCATCAATATGCTTTCGGTCCCACCGGAGGTTATCTATAATAAAGAGGAGATGCCACCTGAGGCCGGAGCTAGGGGGAGCCTTCAGCATCCCAAGAGTCAGGAGTTATGCAGAAGCTTAGCGGAAAGAAGTGAGTAATTTTTTGACTCATGAAGCATGTGACCATTACCCACAAAGATGCATCTGGCTGGGAATGGGGCACTCGCTTTGTGGGCTGTGCATTCGAAGCTGTGAGAGATCAAGTGCTTACTTCCAGCTGAGGTCAGCTCTGCAGAGCAGCAGCATGTGCTGTGGTCCAACAACTAGCCTCAGAAGATCACATGAGGAGCCCAGGCGGCTCTGAAGAAAGCTGGGGAAGAGCCAGAAAGGTCCACGAGGCCAGTGCTTAGGCACTGACTTGAGCAAAAGGAGTTCTCATCTCTATAAGTCACCTACTCCCCAGGCCCTATTTTCGATCTAATAACTAATCAAATCTAAGTAATTATTTGTGGGCAAATACCAGCAAGTGTTTGACTGTAAAGATGGAACACCTAAGTAATTTTTACTTCAGGTTTTTGCAGATTCTATGTTTAAATAAGCTACTATTCTCTCACTTACCTCCACCCTGTAAACAAAGTAAAACAGAAATATCAATAATTACTCTTTATGTTATTAAATTTCTTTTAATATTTACATAAGTTCTCTTTCTAATACTAATGTGAAGGGTTCTTCTTGTTGTTAGGTGCTGATGAGTCGACTATAACTCTAAATGATAGGTATTTTTTCATATTTATTAACAAGATAGATACATTACATGAATATGACAAGTGTTTCAGAAAACAAAGGAGAGAACGCAGCTGACTTGGAACAATAATCAGGTTTTATATGGCAAACTATTAATTTTTAATATACTCATACATCCATCATCTCGCACCCACTGTCACTGCGGCATCTGAAAGTAATGAAAGAAAAGACACTTTAAGGTTGAAGAACAAAGAACTAAATGTTTGAGATCTTAGTTGAGACAGTATAGACACTGCTTGGCCCACTGCAGAGAACCCAAAGGCGTTCAAAGAAGAATGGCTTAGATGGGAGAAACCGTAAACTTATATATAGCAAGGAACAAATGAGTGACCTTGGAAAAAAAGGTAAAGATGGTAAAAAAAAAAAAAAGTCAAAAGATATATAGAATGTAAAGATTCAGAGTGAAAGGATTTTTTTTTTTTTGGTGAAAGGATTTTTAAATATACAAAGTTCTGTCACGGGGGCAGGAGCCAATTATGGGGCTTATAATAATATAGATTATATACCCTGAGTAATCTCCTGACAAAGACAACTGAAAAGCTTAGTACAATTTATCTGTCGCTGAGCTAACATAACAACTTTAGCTGGAGATGCTTTGCTGAAGAAGGAGGGACAATCTCCTCCTGTACAGGTTAGATCTGATTTAACGGTACACACACACACACACACACACACACACACACACACACACAAAACAAAAAAAAACAACACAACAAACTTTATATCAAACCCCCAAACAAAGCAAAATAAAAAATTTAGAAGTGAGTGCCCCAAGTTCACTACTGTATTTAATAGTGTTTGTTGTCAATCTTAGAGACATCCACTCTGACAAGAAAAGAAATGATGGGTTATAGATAAATGCAGAGTCTGCCTCAGGTAAGGGGTCTGACAGGAGGTGGCTGAAAATCCCAAGACAATATCCCCACGTCTAGTCACTCAGTGCATATACTCCCCCAGTAGAGGGGGGCAACAAGAACGGCTTTTCTCAGCGCTGAGAAGAAAAAAAGGAGCTCTCAAGAATGTAGTACGACAGTCCCTATGAGTGGGTGGTCTAAATTCACACTAATTGTGTAATAAAACCACAATCCCAAGAATTTTACTTCAATGAGCTCCACTGTGCTAGAACTTCCTTTTAATGGAAGAAGTAATGACAAAGCTGCTCTGGAAGAGCCTAACACCAATTTACTCCTTGAAGGAATCACTCTGGAGACTAAGATATGTCTGATACAGGCCATGGTCTTTGCGATCACTTGTTATGCATCAGAGAGTTGTACAATGACTAGAGAGGATAGAAGGAGAATTGATGCCTTTGAGCTATGGTGCTGGAGAAGAGTATTGAATATGCTATGAATATATACTGTTTGTTGTTGTTGTTATGTGCTGTCGAGTCGTTTGCGACTCATAGAGACCCTATGCACAACAGCCCTAAACCCTGCTCTATCCTGCGCCAACCGCACTGCCTCCGACACACCCATCCCGATTACCCCAGCCACCGAATCAATCCATCTCCTAGAGGGTCTTCCCCTCCTGCGCCCAAGCATGATGTCCCTCTCCAAGGACACGTCCCTCCTGGCAACATGTCCAAAGTATGTCAGACAAAGCCCCAGAATCCTTGCCTCCAAGGAATAGCTCAGTTTAATCCTCTCCAAGATGAAACTGTTTGTTTTCCTGGCAGTCCATGGTACATTCAGTACTCTTCTCCAGCATCACAGCTCAAAGGCATCAACTCTCCTTCTGTCCTCCCTAGTCATTGTCCAACTCTCTGATGCATAACAAGCGATCGAAAAGACCATGGCCTGTATCAGGCACAACTTAGTCTCCAGAGAGACACCGTTGCTCCTGAGTACTTTAGAGAGGTCCCTAATAGCAGACTTTCCCCCATCACGATACGCTTTTTGATTTCCTGACTGCTGGTGCCAAGAGTGTTGACTGTGGAGCCGAGCAAACTGAAGCTGTGAAAGTCTCAATCTCTTCGCCATCCATCCTGACGCTGCCAATTGGTCCAGTGGTGAGAATCTTTGTCTTCTTGACATTGAGCCTCAGTCCATACTGAAGGCTGCAGTCCTTGACCCTCCACAGCAAGTGCATGAGGTCCTCCTCAGTTTCAGCAAGCAGGGTTGTGTCATCTGCATAATGCAGATTGTTAATAGATCTTCCACCAATCCTGATGCCACAATTCTCCTCATAGAGCCCAGCCTCTCGGAATGATCTGCTTCTGCAAACAGGTTGAAAAGGCATGGAGACAGGACGCATCCCTGGCGTACACCCTTCCCAATTTTGAACCATGCAATGTTTCCTCGCTCTGTTCTGACTACTGCCTCTTGGTCCAAGCATAGGTTTCGCATTAGCATGATCAAGTGTTCCTGGATTCCCATTCTTCATTCAGCCACAGTTTGCTATGATCCACATAGTCAAACGCCTTTGCGTAATCAATGAAACACAGATAGACATTCCTGTGGTATTCCCTAACATAGATATAAAAAATTCACAACAATATCCTAGCCAATAGAATTTAAATCATATAGAAAAATCATTCATCATACTCAAGTGTGAGTCACATCAGGAAGATAAAAAATAGTCAACACTAGAAAAGCAATCTGTGTGATTCACCACATCAATAAACAAAGGAAAAGAACCATATGATGATCTCAATTGATACAAAAGGAATTTGACAAAATTCAACACCCTTTCCTGATAAAACACTCAGCAGAACAGGGGGTGGGGGGGAGTGTGGAGGGAGGAAATTCCTCAACAAAATAAATACCAACTTTGGGTTAACAGTACAATTCCCTATGCACTACACCACTAGAGCTCTCAATCAAAAATATGTCTACAAAACCAGCAGACAACATCATTCAGAAGGGAGGACTGAAGGCATCCCCTTGGAAATGAGAACCAGACAAAGGACACACACACACACACACACACACACACACACACCCCCCGCACCATGACCAGACAAAGGACACACACACACACACACACACACACACACACACACACACCCCCCGCACCATGACCTGTATTCAGATTCCTATCCAAAGCTATAAGGGAAGAAAAGGAAACCAAAGGTAGCCTAATTGGTAATTCGTTATTCATTGTCATTATGTCAGACCTGGCTCACAGTGGACCCTCATTTGGGCTTCTGCTGGTAAAACTTGCACAGGAGGATATTGCCCATCGTTTTCCAGTAGATCCACTGAGCATTCAAACCACCAAGGAGGCAAGGCCTTGGGGTTACCAGGGCAACTTCCTCTGGACTAGGCCACCCGAGCAAAGAGGAAGTAAAGCCATCTGTATTTACAGACGATAATGTACTATCATGTGGAAACCCCCAAAGATTCAGAAAGTAAATTACTGGACCCAACTGAATGATTCAGCAAAGTGACACAGTACATGAGCAATATATAGATAACAAAGAAAACTATGACAAAAGGAAAACAATGGTTTTTATAATAGCCCCCCCCCAACAATGAGCTATTTAGGAATAAATCTCATCAGAGATGCAAACAACTAAAATTCAATTGACTACCACTGAGTCAAAATCAACTCACAGGTGACTGACTATCCAGCAGGTTTTTGGAGCCTGTAAATCACATGGGAGGTTCTCATCTTTCTCCCACTGAGCGGCGGGTGGATTTGAACAGTCAGAGAGAAGCCACCTTTGGGTCAGTAGCACAACTACATACTGACGAGGCCACCACAGCTCCAAAAGGCTTTCTGTTTTTGTTAGATGCCATCAAGGCAATTACAACTTACAGTGACCCTAAGAACAACACATGTGAACCTTTCCCTGTCCTGCGCCATCTTCACGATCTCTGTCTTGCTCAAGTCTCTGGTGGTGGTTTCTATATCAATCCATCTCGTTGAGGGTGTTCCTCTCCTTTGCTGACCCTCTACTTTTCCTAACATGCTGTCTCTCTCCAAGGACTAGTTATCTTGAAAATATGTCCAAAGGGAGATGAAGTTATCCTTGTCTCTAAGGAGCACTCTGGTTGCACTTCCTGCAAGAAAGATTTGTTTGCTCTTTGGCAGTCCACAGTGTATTCAAGATTCTTCACCAACACCACGATTCAAAGGCATCAATTTTTCCTCTGCCATCCTTATTCACTGTACAGCTTTCAGATGCATATGAAGCAGCTGAAAACACTATGCTTGGATGAAGCACACTTAAGTCTTTAAACTGACATCCTTAGTTTTTAGAACTGTGGAGAAGTTCTAGACAGGCAACTTTTCCCAGTGCAACATATCT